GAAAGAGCAGGCTGATCTGACTTTTTGTTGTTTGTTTTTAAATGACAGCTATAGGCATGGCCTTAGGATTTTTTTGGAAAATAGAAACATTATTTTCTCTTTGTATTAGGCTTGTCTTGCAGCTTGGCAAAGTACATGCAAGGCCAAGCATGGCGGTGGGGTGGAGTTGGGGGTTACAGGCTGAACATCCTTGAGGAAGAGCATCCAGGGAAAGAAAAAGAAAAAAGAAGACCTTTGAATATGGTTGTCTTCCACAGAAGCACAACATTTCAGCAAACAGAACATTTCATTCTCCCTCCAGCTGGGTAACACTTGTGTAACTAAACCACATCACCATACTTAAGAGTGAAAAATGATTAACAAAGCCATCCTGCTGCATAGTAATTTATATACTACCTTATGGCTTCTGGGAATCCTGCCATGATATGTACTGAGCTCCCATTTGTTTGCACACAGGTTCAGCAAAACAAAACCAGGCCCACAAAACTTACACATTAAAGCTTATGGTTCCAAGAAACCTGCAACTGGCAATGAAAGTGTTGAACAATCAAGGGGTGTTGCAGCAAAGCTGTGTCTCCTTGATTTCTGCTGGAGTGTAGGTGGTACAGTATTTTGCAAGAATTGATCAGCTCTTGCCAGCACTAATTCATCTGGGTTCTACCAACGATAACCTTCATGTCACTTTGCTTTTATTGAAGTAGGATAGGCCATAAGTAGGCAGAAAGCTCTGAAACATTAAGCTGTAAATACCAATGGTTTAAGAAGAGGACACTTTCCCAGACCTTGAAGAGAAGGCAGACTGGAAAGTTACTAATAAGACCGTGTTGTGGTCTTATTATTAATTCCTTCTGCCCTTTTCAGAAAACATACATTTCATTTCCTGTCTAAATAGATAACTTGAAGATGATCCTTTCCTCTTGTTTCTGGGTCAGAGGCACCCTTGATAGCAAGAAAGATATTCATCCAAAGCCTTTTTCATCAGCCTCCGTGAAATGCTAACAATTATTGTGATTGCAGGGAGACACCTCCCCCAGCCAAGATTTGCAGCTGTGAACCTTAGCTAATCTTAGAAGCAGGGGTTAGTGCCTCTCAAACAATATCCTGTTATTTAGAATACCGCGAAACACAAGACAAAGGTTGCAATTTCCTCTCATCTCAAGTTAGAGGACTTGTGTCTCTTAACTCCTCTTACCTCCAGTTTGGACTGATCAGAAAAAATTAACAATGAGAAGGTAGAATAGCTGTCTCTCTCCTCCCCCCGCCCTGCCCCCAGTAAATAGCTATTTATCCCATAAGTAGTCAAACACATAGGGAATTATTCCACCACTATCAATATCCAGCTACCTGGTGAGAATGAGTTGTCTTGGTTGGTAAGAAAGAAGGATCTCTCAAAAGTGTCACCTAGAAACTTGCCTGAGCAGCTACAGGTAACTAAATGATTGGATGACAGCTAATTGGGAAATCTGAGATGGTGAAGTTCAAATTTTGATGTTCAAAGTAGCATCTAGTTATATCATTTCTGGGGGTGAGGGAGGAGGAAGAACACAGCTTACACGAACAGTGCTTTTCTTTGAATTTCTTTCCTTAACATGTATTAGGTCACCCAGAAGGAAACTCAAAATGAGAATTGTTCCACAACACATTTGTCCTTGGGGAAAGAATTAAAATAGTAACATGTGTAGCAGGCCAAACTGTTGCTCACTACAGTACTGGAAGGCACTTAAACATTACTGTCATGAGCAGGGGATAGGGCTCTGCATGGCATACAAAGTGGCTGGAGATGGAGAAAGGATTCTGTTTCCCCACCCAACACTAATTAGTTCCTTACACAATGCTTCTTTAATTATCTCCAGGCTATTTTCTCTCAAAACCCATTTACTAAATCAAGTTAACTCTCTCTGGGATGCTCTCCATGTTGAGATTGCTACAGCACATTTTATGTAGATCTGAAGTAGGTTCTCCTAGTGTGTACAGCAGCTATTTGAGGCTGGTTTTCACAGGGACAAGGGCATGGGATGAAGAGTTCTCCATTCTTATCAGGATGGACTGGCGGTGAGACAGAATCAGTAGTTAACACAGGCTCAGGAGAGTTGCAGCTTCACAAAGTCATGCTTGGATTGACCGTCTGTGTGTCCACAGGCTCTGAGAATGACTCTAGGGGAAGAATTCCCACTGGACTCATGATATGAGTTTGATAGGCTTTCTGCATGGCAATATATCTAAAGGCAGGTTGACAACATTAAGAGTTGTTGAACAACATGGAGCTGTGCATTACTCTCTGTCAACTATTACATTCTATAAATTACTTGGTCCTCATAGGAATGCTGTGGCTCATACCATATGATATGAAAGATCATAGAATAACAGAATATCTCAGGTTGGAAGGGATGCATAAAAATCATTAAGTCCAACTCCCTGCTCTTTGCAGGACTAACTAAAACTAAACCATATGACTAAGAGCATCATCCAGATGCTCCTTGAACTCTGACAGGCTTGATGCCACCACCAGTTCCCTGGGGGGCATGTTCCACTGATCAACAACCCTCTCAGCAAAGAACCTTTTCCCAGTGTCCAATCTGAACTTCCCCTGACACAGCTTCATTCTGTTCCCTTGTGTCCTACTGCTGGTCCCCAGAGAGAGGAGATTGGCCCCTCCCCCTCCACTGCCCCCCATGAGGAAGTTGTAGGCTGCAATGAGGTCACTCTCCTCAACCTTCTCTTCTCTAAGCTGAACAAAACCAAGTGATCTCAGCCGCTCCTTGCAAGTCTTGCCCTCAAGGCCTTTCACCATCTTGGTTGCCCTTGTCTGCACACACTCTAGTAGTTTGATGTTCTTCTGATATTGAGGCGCCCACAACTGCACACAGGTGGGGCCGCACCTGTGCAGTGTAAAGTGGGACAGCCACCTCCCTCAAGTGTCCAGTGATGCTGTGCTTGATGCACCCCAGGGCATGGTTGGCTCTTTTGGCTGCCACACTGCTGACGCTTATTCAACTTGCCATCAGCCCAAACTCCCGGATCTCTTTCTGTGGGGCTGCTCTCCAGCCTCTTGGCCTCCAGTTTGTACATATAACCAGGATTACCCCATACCAAGTGCAGAATCTGGCACTTGGTCTTGTTAAATTTCATATGGTTGGTGATTGCCCAGCTCTCTGTAGTCTATCCAGATCTCTCTGTAAGGTCTCTCTACCCTCAAGGGACTCCACAGCATTTCCTGGTTTAGTGTCATCAGCACATTAGATTCCTGTGGCCAGATAATTTATAATAACATTGAAGAGCCCTGGCCCAAAAAAAAAAGATGTGCATTTGCTTTACTTTTTTGTTAAAGCTTCCTTGTATTGTCAGGAATTTTTATTTTTTCCTGTTGTATAAATATATAATCTTCAGTTAACAGAACGATGTTAAATCTATTAGTGTCTGTAATATATTATAAAAAAGTCCCTTGGCAAATTAGACAAGGCAGACATCCAGTATAAAACTTCAGCATAATTTATATTTTAGCAAAGTTATAAGCAGTTCAAAACTAGGTCTTATAATGGGAGATGTTAGGCAATGTTAATGATAGGTGATGCCACAAACCCTGCCTATGATAACCGAGAAAACATATAGATAACAGACATCTGAGAAATCACATTCTGAAGTAATTGTATCCTGGGTAACTTTTACTCTCATTTTGTATCATTGCTTGCTTGTTTGATGTTCCGATTTAATTCATTTTTATGAGGCTGTGTTCTCTTCCTTTCATTAAAGGGCAAAATGCTACATGGGTTATGTGATGGGCGATTACAAGAGGGTGTACATCAGAGGCCCATGTTGTCACTATGTACTTGTCTCTTACAGTTATAGATTGTATGTTATGATCTGCTCCTCTCTGCTTCACATGAGTCAACTTGGTTCACTGTTGGAATAAGAGAACTACTGTTTTTACCATGTCTGGTTACTAATTCATGTAATAATAATCCTATTATGGGTTGTCTACAGTACTTTTTGAATTTAACGATAGAGTAATATTTGCTACATTGGCTTGTTCTGGGATAAGATAGTAAGTTCAAGTCAGATTTCCCTATTTTTATTGTGGATGCTTGATATATTATGAACAGCTTTACAGAATATACCAATAGACACACAAATGTATCAGTCATTTCACACGAAATCACCCAGCACCACTGCAATCCTCTTCTGCAGTGCATCTGCACTCCCATATCCAGTGGACAAAACAATTTGAAAATATTTCAGGATATTGTGAATGCCTGTAAGATGACATATGAATACCTTTTAGGAAAACTTCGTTATCTTGGAGACTTTCTAAGCCTCATTCTCTCCTGGGTCATGCATGAGGTAAGGGAAAAACAGATTTTTCTTGTGCAGGGGAGAAAACTCAATCCTTCCTGTAGCCATTTGACTGCAGCTGAGCAGAAAAGGCTAGAAGGGTGTTATACTACAGGCTTGCAGACACTGAAAAAGAAGAAGCTGTTAGGCAGAAAGAAGCAGAAATGGCTTCCTTTTTTCATAGAATCATAGATTCATTTGGTTGGAAAAGACCTTTAGGATCATCGAGTCTAACCATACCTGTCCAGTACTAAACCATGTCTCTAAGCTTCTCACCTATTTGTCTTTTAAATACCTCCAGGGATGGGGACTCAACCATTTCCCTGGGCAGCACGTTGCAGTGCCTGAAAACCCTTTCAGTGAAGAAATTTTTCCTAACACCTAATCTAAACCTCCCCTGGTGCAACTTGAGGCCACCTCACTACAACTTCCTTTCAGGTAGTAGAGGGCAATAAGGTCTCCCCTCAGCCTCCTCTTCTCCAGGCTAAACAACCCCAGTTCCCTCAGCTGCTCCTCATAGGTCTTGTGCTCCAGAAGCTTATAAGCTTCATTGCCCTTCTCTGGACAAGCTCCAGCCCCTCAATGTCTTTCTTGTAGTGAAGGGTCCAAAACTGAACACAGTATTCAAGGTGCAGCCTCACCAATGTCAAGTACAGGGGCACAATCACTTCCTTACTCCTGCTGGCTACACTATTCCTGATACAAACCAGGATGCCATTGGCCCTCTTGGCCACCTGGGCACACCACTAGCTCACATTCAGACAGCTGTTGACAAACACCCTCAGGTCTTTTTCCGCCATGAAGCTCTCCAGCTGCTCTTCCACAAGCCTGTAGCGTTGCATGGGGTTGTTGTGACCCAAGAGCAGGACCTGACACTTGGCCTTGTTGAACCTCATACAATTGACCTTAGCTCATCAATCCAGCCTGTCCAGGTCCCTCTGTAGAGCCTTCCTGCCCTCCAGCAGATCAACACTTCCACACACCTTAATGTCGTCTGCAAACTTATGGAGGGTGCACTCAATTCCCTTGTCAGGGGATCAGGATATGCCTTTCATAAACCCATATTGAGTGGGCCTGATCTTCTGATTGTCCTGGATGTGCTGTGGGAAGGCATTCAAGATAATCTGCTCCATGAACTTCCCCAGCACTGAGGTCAGACTGATAGGCCTATAGTTCCCCAGATCCTCCCTCCCTCCCTTCTTGTAAATGGGCGTCACATTTGCCAACCTCCAGTCCTGTGGAACTTCCCCAGTCATCCAGAACTGCTGATAGCTGATGGACAGGGTCTTGGTGAGCACCTCTGCCAGCTCCCTCAGTACCCTTGGGTGGAGCCCATCCGGCCCCATAAACTTGTGTATATTTAATTGGCTGAGCAGGTCACTAACCATTCCCTCACGGATCATGGGGCTTTGCTCTTGCTCCCTGTCCATCTGCTGGCTCATAGGCCTGGGTATGTGGGGAACAGCTGACCTTACCAGAAGAACAGAGGCAGACAAAGGATTAAGTACCTCAGCCTTATCTTCACCCACTGTCACTATGGTTCCCCCTGCATCCGGTAAAGGATGGACATTCTCCTTGGCTCTCCTTTTGTTGTCAATATATTTGTAGAAATATTTTTTTATTCTCTTTCACAGAATTGGCCAATTTAAGTTCTACCTGGGCTTTAGCCCCTCTAATTTTCTCTCTGCATGACCTTGCAACATCCTTGTAGTCCTCCTGAGATGCCTGTCCCTTCTGCTAAAGCTCATAGACTTCCCCCTTTTTTCTGAGATCCAGCAAAAGCTCTCTAGTCAGCCAGGCTGGTTTTCTTCCCTGATGGCTCATCTTTTGGCACATGGGGATGGCCTGCTCTTGCA